AGTACTCCGCGGAACATACATACAACCGTCTTTCGCAATGAGGATTACTGAGTTAGAATATTGTTAATATTTAAGATTTTGTGTTATTTTCTTCTTCTTATTATTCTTCTTTTTCTTCTTATTCTTCTTATTTAATAATACATAAACTACAAACTGTAATGAGCCGAATTATACCTATTGCTCTCCTCATTCTAACCGACATGATCAGGTGAAGATTTTACGGGTTGGTTTGCTCCTGTTGGGCTCCATACCATGGACTACTGTTTCGTTTCTAGACCGTGCTTATATAACCAAGATTCGTCACCAATAACGACTTTACTAAAGTTGCTAAGCTGACCTTTTCCGAATTTCTTTAAGGAAAATAGAGCAAAATGAACTCGAACCTCATTTAAAATTCGTGGTACCCATCTAGCAGATTTCTTTGCGTATACCAGATGATTACATAATATTCACGATACAGGCATGGCATTCAAGCCCAATTCATTAGCCATCGTTTCTTGTGTCAATCGTGGGTCTTCGTCAATTTTGGACTTCGCCAGAACGTTTTGAGATTTATTTACAAATTGAAGTCCAGTCAAATCATTCTCACCTTTTGAATTCGATACCATTTTTATTGATTAAAATATTATATCCACAATAAACAAAGTAGTTTGATGATTATTTCAGACATTCAGTATATTATGGACTCGAGCCTCGCTTCCTAACCTTTTGCTTCGTCCAACTTTATTTTCATTTGTCATTTTTAACAATGAAAAAATAATTCAAAAAGTAATAATTTCAGAAAAAAAATATACTTAGGACTACAAAAAAATGCCATATAAATTATTTAAACCAAAATTTTTACCAAATAACAAACATACATATTTCGGAGATGTTGTGTTGTGGCTATTTTTATTTGTGATCGCAAAAGATTCTTATAGACACGCGTGTGTACTTCGCGCAATTCTTTATATTTCTCACATTCAAATAAGACGAAAACGTGCTCTTTTGCTTTGGAGAATTTTCAAAATATTTGACAAGGCCGTTTATTTTCATATCTTAAGGTTAGACAGCAGATGTAGCCAACAGGCCGTTGTATGTGCGGTTCAATGCACCATTGGCGCTGTTTAACTGTGTGTACTTGAAAAATAGGCGTTGCCAATAATATTATAGTTTTGAAACTTTTTCCATAGCATGCTGATTTACGAAAATAATAGTGTTGTTAGAAAATCGAATTTAGCGGCGCATTAGATTCCAATTTATAAACAAATGAGATTGAACTTTATATTATCATTAAGTCACATTCAGTATATATGTACATGTGAATAAATGAAAAGAAAACAATTTTCAAAGCACTAAATATTTGTATTCCAGAAATTTCTTAGCTTAGTCAGTCAGTAGGTTACAAAACAAATAATTTTATTTTTTTATTTTTACCATTTTAATCTTTTTTTTTTTTCGAAATATAATTTTGTTTACTTCACAAATTGAGACGCATTTGATTTTCGTTGCTTTGAAAACAACGCGCGACTATTAATTAACTGCATAAATATGTAAATATACAATTACTTACTCAGAAAAATACCGTCAAATCACAATGAAGTGTCCTACTATCAATTTGATTCGTCTTGTATATGCAACTGTATACTTGGGCAATGTGGTATATACATACATACAAATGCCCATTTGTTGCTTGTGTACGTGTACATACACGTATGTATGTATATAGACAATAAAGATGAACTTGACATTGAACTTAAGCTCTTACGTTGGCGAGCTCACACCAATGAATATATATTTGATTGCAATCATGTGTGTGTATGTATACTTTATGTTTGTATATGTTATAGTAATAAAATGGAATGGAATTAATAAATTTAATAACTTTTAAATTTGGCAAACTTATCCTTAGAATAAAACATAAGCTACACATTGGAAACAAATTCATTTTCCTGCGTTGCTAAAAAAGAAAACAGCATAAATATAAATATAAAAGCTAGACCAAGAAATCTCAAAACCTAATTAAAATAAATTTATTAAATAATAAGTATTGAATCTTCAATGCAGTTAGTATTTTATGGAGAATCCTCTGTTAGCTATAAACGCTTTAAACCACGTTGAAACCATCAAATTTTGGCATTGCTCAACTGGTATGACATACCAGCCTCGTTCAACCACTCGCCAAGAACCGTTGTTGTTAGTCAGTTCCCTCAAGACAACTCGCTTGTTTAATGTCTCGCCACAATTTCTCAATAAGTTTGAAGTCTGCAGATTGTGTTGACCATTCTAAGATCGCTTTCTTATTTTCAAAAAACCAATATTTCTCTAATTTGCTAGCGTGTTTCAGATCGTCGTCTTGCTGGCAGACCCACCTCATTGACATCTCTTCTCTGGCATAAGGCAACACCTTTAAGTCCAATATTTTGAAATATTTTTGGCTATCCTTTATGCTAGTTACGTGGTATAAGGAGCCTACAGCGTAGCATGAAAAACAACCTAAAATATAATATTATACTCCATCCATCATGCTTAACGGTATTTAAGGGTTATATCTAGTTCTTGTTAGAATTTTCAAGTTTTTTTTCATAATTTACATGTATGCAAGTAAATACTCTGAAAATTTCAGGACAATCCGACTGTTATTTTGGAAGTTACACGGATATCTGCAACGACGCACCAGAACATTTAAAAGCGGCAAGCGAGACCTTAACCTCGTTTTTCCCAAAACTATGTTTTTAAGTCGCTGACCAAGATTTCTCGACTACCAATCAAATACAACATGGGCCTCTTAATAACATTTTACTTAATATTTATTATTTTATATATATTGGGCAATCACTGGCTTTGAACCGTTTAAGTCCCCGTGAACAGAAAATATATAATGCAGAATGTTTCCATAGTGCTGGTACCTTATCTAATAACAACATATGAAAAGCTTAATTATATGCCTATCCTTCAAAGAGAGAGAGACAAGGGTCGCACTCATATCGAAAGCGGGTAAGAAAATTTCTACCTGGTCTTTCAAACGGGGTGGATGTCTTCCTTCTCCTCTGATTCCACCAAAAACTTTCAAAGCTGGAGTATTCTTATTTATCCAGACCAGATGACTTAGCCAAACCATCTCAATGTCGCCGTATATCTCATATAACTCATCATTCCAACTCGTAGAAGACAGTAAATCTTACGCAAAGCATTTCCCTAGAAAACTCCTAACGCCAGCTCATCAGATGCTGTTATCATCCATGCTTCCGCACCATATAACAAGACGGGACGATAAGCGATTTTTAGAGTTTGGGTTTCGTTCGCCGAGAGAGTACTTTACTTTTCAATTGCCAACTTAGTCCTAAGTAGCAACTGTTCGAAAGAGTGATTCTGCGCTGGATTTCAAGGCTGACGTTATTATTGTTGTTGATGCTGATCTCTAGATAGACATTACAACTGTTACTTCACTTTATAACTTTGCAACTTTTCCTTAAAAGAATATGCTATGCTCAACGTGGGGCCTATCATCTATTAAACCAATCTTGCTCTTGCTTTGCTGTGACGGATCGCTACCAGCAAAATCGCATAACCCGAGCACTAGAGTACCACTGAATCAACACATTTGCAGCGAAATCAGCTGTTAGATTGGCGGTTTCAGGTGAATTACCTGCAAGAGCCTTCGAACAAAGCTAGAAAAGCGTGGAAAAATTTAGCAAATACCATTTAGCTGAGGAAAAAAAATTTGAACCACCTTAAAAGAAAGATCGGAGCAAACACGGTGACGGTCTTAAGAGCTGGAATATATAGCGTTGAGTTTGATCTCAGGCAGTCCTTCATGCCTTCAGAGTCGTGGGCAATTAAGGTGAAAATCTCAAATCATACTACGTCTAAGAATGTCCTTAGAATGTATATAAGTTTGTATATAATATAAAAGCATTGTGCGAAACATTTGATGAGAAGCCAATAAGTGCCATCCGTCTGGGAATCAAACTTGGACATGAAATTTCCGAAAGTAGTGAAACACGGTTCAAGTTGAAGTAGAACACCTTAACGGCATGCAAGCACCGAACTACAACCCACCAATTTTTTGCTCGTTCGCTCTCGAAAGACTTTTTCTCTTGCACTTTGGAGCCGCTGAAGCGATTTTCGCTCGAGCTCCTCCTCAAATTTGTGGTTTACGTCTTGATGTCTTCCCAACAAATGGAGGAATAGTTTAAACTAAGCCGCCTACGAACGGCTGATGGTTTTTTGTGGGGAATTATTCTATTATTTCATGTCAGAAATATACTCGAAAAGGTTGATATTGCCTGCCGAGGGGCGACCGCATTTTAAAAATTAAACTTAAATATTTATTTAAATTAATTTTCTATAACTCTTTGGATGTGGGTCTTTCCAGGATTTGAACCCTGGCCTCTCGAATGGCACTTCACAATGTTAACCACTCGGCTACCGCGGCTGCCTACTTCCTGGCACCACACGCAAGAATAATGCGGGAAGTGCAGGGAAAAGGTATGAGTGGAGCTTTGAAAAATCTCCTCTGTCATTGTGCGGTTTTATCTAAAACCATCAGCGGAGCAAACTGTAAAAATCTTGATATTTCTAAAAATTTCCGCATGGTTTACTTTTTTGTGAAGCTCAATAATCATGTGCTGCATTAAAGTAATGAAAAATTTAGATCTCGTCCAAACTTTTGCGTCAACTCGCCTCCAATTAAAGTCTGGCGAAATCTTTTTATAGAAAAAAGGTTTAGGGGGCATTTTTACTCTCACAGAGGGACGTTTAAGTTGCATTATTTATCTTCGTAACAAAAAAAAAAATCCATCAATGAAATAAGCACAACAACAAGTTATTCTTTACATTTTTATAATTAAATAAAACCTTTTTATCTACAGACATTTTGCATTTAGTTTTTATCTCTGTTTAGCTGCTGTCAAAGTAAACTGTTATTCATACATACATATATTTAGTAAATCGTATATATATATAAATTGTAATAAATACAAGTTAACCAACATAAAATGATGAGGTTACATAATAAGTAAGAGATAAGCAAGTTTCCTTTTATTAACTTAACGTAAAGACTAAAACAAAAATACATAAGTGAAAGCGAAACGATATCAAGGAAGAATACTCGTACATACAAAACTACAATACAATTAATAATCACTCTGACGAGCAAATGAGTTGCATTCGATGCTTCCTCTTACTTTCACTTTCTCTCTTCAATCGAACGAATCAGTCGAACGATTCTTAAAGCTTATTCTTTAATGCAATTTGTTATATTTGTACAAACGTACATACATTAGTTACAGATTTTAAAAATTATTGTATTTTATATTTATTATTATTATATATATATATTTTAGTTATATTCATTTAAATATACATAAATATGCGCACACGTCCGACAGAGGCGTCAACTTTTGTTCAGGCTTAGACTAGGATACAGCAGACCTGTCCACCTTGACAATCGGTACCCGGTCGCTGTAGATATTCGGCACAATTATCCATGCAGACGCCCAAATGCTGCTCACACGGTGCGGGCCTCACTGGCACTACTCAGGATGCGTGATGAAGTGGTGATTTGATTTGATTTGATTTGATTAGTTGTTTTTATTGTTTTTGTTTGCGATGCAGCGGTGCAATGTTTTCAAATGAATAACGCCGATTTTGGGTGGGCGGCGTATGGTTTCAGTCACGGAATGCATTCCATTCAAGTCGACGTAAACGCAGGCGAATAATTGATTTCGATTAGATTGGAGTACAAAATGCACACAACGGGATTGGGAAGATGACGGATTTTTGTTGTAGTGGTAGAAGTTGGAGAGTGAGGAATGTAATAGAGAAAAAGACAAATAAAGAATATGTTAGTGTGTATGAAAGAAATACCAATTTTTCTAGTTAGTAATCAAAAGTTGTGTTGGGATCGGCATATTGGAATTGTTTTCTTTTTACTTAGAGTCTTTGTTTTGGTGTGATGCGTTTTGTTTATAGATTTTCAGGATTTACTGTTGGAAATTGTGTAAATGTTAGTTATGTTCCCAAAAGCAGTGTTATATAAGAAACACTAAGGATACGACTTCACGACGAAAAATAATGAGACAAATGCACCTACTCAAAGGGTATAGGCTCTTAATAGATTTTCCTGTATGACATGTACTTGTTGTTGTTACATTTTATTAAAAGTGAGCTCTTAAGTTTGCAACTAGTTCATAATATTTTTAGTAGAAAATTATTAGCAAATCAATGGATTTATTTATATATAATACTAGATTTTGGCATAAAGTAGCATTTAAAATTTAACTTGAAATTCTTCTTTTCTCTTTTAAGTGACCTTCCTTGGTTAAAAATTTAATTGAACAGTTATCGCTTGTCGTTTTGTAGTATCCAAAGTGTTTCGAACAAATATATGCAGCTTATTACACTTACATTCATAGCAACACTCCACGCCGCGATGCTTGTTGGATGGACATAGACCCCGATTTGTGGTCGGTTCCAAACAATCACTGCTGTGCACGCACAAACCTCCGAGTAAGGCGCATTCACGATCAGCGGGATAGACTTTCACACCCTGCAATACTGAAAATAAATTGAAAATAGCGAGCGTTAATTATTTATGTTGATAAAAATTCCCCTCTTTGAGTGGATTATTTTTTTAAAGCTTAATAAACGAAAAAATTAACTTAAACTTTCTGTTTTGATTTTCGAAAAGCTTTACTTAAAATAAAAACTGTAAAATTGAAATTTTAATTTTATTAATAAGAAATTGAAGAATTTGTTCGAAAATCTTTAATTTCTCTTTAAAATAACGTCATTTTCATTTGTAAAAAATATTAAATTTTAATTAATTTAATTTAACAAAAATAATTAATAAACAAAGGAATTTAAAAAAAAATAAAAAAAATAATTTTTTAGAAATAAAGCCAAGCCAGCTTTAATTTCTTTCCATTTTTTAATTTCATTAAATAATTAAAGTTAATAAATTGTGAATTTGGGTTTAAATAAAAATGGTGTAAGTTCACTTTTGATTGTAGTTTCTTGCACGTATTAAAACACTGGGTAAGGTGACTCAATAGCGCGGAATAATGAAACTTTTTTCAAATATTAAAAAAAACTAAAAATTATTTAAAATATTTTTTAGATTAGATATTATTAATTCAGAAAACTCATTAAATTTTAGAACTGTTAATTATTAATCGTTAATTGAGTTTTTCTAGACGAACTTCTTATTCAAATAATTTGTCAGAAACTAATTATAATAATAAAAAGTAATTCATTAATAAAGTTTATAAATTTTTCACTGATTTTTAATTTTTTTTTTTCTTAATTTAAACAATAAATTTAATGAAAATTTTATATTACATAACCCTCATTTAAAAGGGGCATTTCGTCTTATTGTTTTTTGTTATTGCAGATGCTTTTTCGATTTGCTGGTACATCCACAATACATCTGTCATGAGTGTAATTTAAACGTCAACTTTTGTGGCTGCAGGTAAAATGTGTTGACCCAGTTTTTATCGTTGAGTCGCAAACAAAAAAAAAAAAAAAAACGAAACACAAACAGATGATCGATGAATATGACCACTTGACAAATGAAATTGATGTATGTAAACAGTTAATTTTAGTACAGTGCTGTCCAAGGTCATAAGACAAAGAAAAGGCATATATATACTTGTATAAAAGCAAACTAATATTAACATAAAATTTATAAATTATAAATACTATATTAAATATTTCCACTAAGAGGTAATTAATTTATTATCATTATGTTCTCTTAAAAAGACTATCTACGTGTTAAAAATTGTTTAGTTCAAGAGAATCATTTATTTTCATTTTTGTTTAAAAACTGAATTTAGATAAATAATAAATATTATTATTAATAATTAATTCGTCGATTTTTTGTATGTAAGTAAAAAATTAGCGTTACATTACGGCGTTAGCTGTTTTTTATAATTATTTATTAAAAATATTCGAAATCGTGTTTATGGATCAAAATTTCTATCGTTTCTTATGTAAAATGTTTACCTATAAATCAATCAACAATATTGAAAATAAATTTTTATTTCTGTTTATAAAATCAAAAACTCATATATTTTTAACAAAAAAATGTAGTTTTAACTATTTAAACGTTTTATTCGTTATTTAGAATATTGCTTTGCTTGCAGACATTTTTTCAAAACTTTTCAATCTTGTTGTAATTATTTGAGATTAAATATCATTTTGCTATCGTAAGTTTTTATTTTTCATTTTAATTGTAGTTATGAGTTATTTTTAGAATGCCAATTTATTTCACTTTCGAAAATTTTTTCGTTTTTTGTTTTTAATAACTAATATCGCATTTTAGAGAACATTTTTGGAAGGAAAAATGTATTCGCTTTCAAAATGTGTTTCATAAATTTCGGTGTTTGCTTTAATTGTAATTATTTGAATAAGAAATTATTTTGTATGCAGAGTTACTATATATAATATATTATATTTTGTAGCTATAGTTTTTGAAATTTTATATTTTTCAATTTTTAATTGTATTTTTTAACAGTTTACTTTTCACTTATTTTATTTATATTTATTTTTTCATCAAAATCATTTTATTAGCAAAATTATTAAAAAGCAATATTATTTCGTATATCAACTAGATGCATTTATGAGAGTGCGTAAAAGTTTTTTTTTAGTTTGAATAAATAAAATCACACTGAAATATTATTTTAGGTCTTAGCATTGAAGAAAAAAGCGGAAAAATACTAAAGAAATAAAAAAATCAACGCCCAAAATTGGTTTTTTACATTTATTTATTTATTCATTATGAATGAAGTCACTTCTAAACTATCAATAAAACAATCGATGAATCATGTTTTCTAAAAAAAAAAAGTAGCCGCAATATATTTTTTAATATTTCACATAGACTTTTTCGCATTACTTATAAATTTTATATTGTTTTTTTTTTTTGTGCTCAAACAGTGAATATTTCATAATTGTACAATAACAACTTAGAATCAGGATTATTGTTGTCAAAATATTTCATTGAGATCACGACTTTCAAGCTGATAATTTTTCTATTCTTCTTTCATGAAGTTTCGTTTTCCAAAGAAATAACACTAACAATAAACTATAATTTCATTTTTAAAATATATAAATAATATACATGAACTCACAATAATATTCTGGCGCATTGTCGATCTCGTTATCATCCGTACTGGCGCTAATGCCATTAATCGGTATCTGTGCAATAAGTAGAACACTTAGCAGATACGAAAACACTTTACAGGACATAATAATATATTTTTTGTTGATTAGCTTTTTGTACGTGATTTATTTTGGATGACGTCTTAAAACGCACTTTATTTTTATTTGCAACAGCTTAGAGGGGGGTTGCACTTTTTTGCAAAATTTCATGCACTTTATATTAATTGCTATTTGTGTAATTTATAAACTTTCTTACGGAACAAAATTGTGTCAAAGTAAATTCACTTGTGATAACCGCAATTTCCAACAAAAAAATGCTACACTTGACTGCGCGCCAGCTCGTTCACAACTGAATGTTCTTAATTATATGATGTTTCCTTTTAAACAAATCTCCAAATTAACAACAAACATTTAATTATTCGCTTACGTTCACGTTTTGTTTATGCGATGCGCGATAGTTGTGTGAGTAGATCTATATATGCACATACACATGTATACACATGTGTGGGTATGTATGTATGTATTTCACACTTTCTAATATTTAATTGTATTTTAATTTATTTTTATTCTATTATAATTATTTTTTTCTTTTCTTTCTTTAACACAATTTATCTAATTCTTTCTTTCTTTCTTTATATTTATTTTATTTAATTTTTCGTGTTTGTCTACTCAGCAATCACCAAAAACGCTCTTCAACGGTTCGTTGCAATTCGATGAATGAATTTCTCAATTCGAATGAATGGTAAATGTTGCCGCTGGCGCTTTTGCTGCTGCTGCTGCTGCCGCTGCTGCTGATGTGCTTTTTGTTTTGGTGCTACTCGCTCGTTTCGCACAAGTGGCGATCTTCAAAGCCCAGAGAGAGCAGCGGGTACTCATAGGCGCTCATGCCTACTTAATTGTATTGTAGTTGTTGATACGGTCCCATATGTGTGGGTGTGAGTATGAGTGCGAATGCTTCTTGCTCCTTTGAATTAAGATGAAGACCAAAACAAAATTCTCTCTTGTTTTTCTTCAAAAATAAATATGTATATATTTATTTAAATAATTATTGAGTATTCAAGAATATGTGACATTTTTATACACGTATGTATGTATTTTCAAACGATTTGATGAGTATGTTTGAGTATATTGTAGATATGTGTATGTGTGTGTTATAATTTGCAATTGGAGGCGTAACGTTACCCATATTTTTTCATCAACTCAATATTTCATGTGTGTCATGAGACCAAAGCCATCACGTGGCCTTAACCAACAACATTGCATCGAGTTCGAGAACAGCTCAGCAGCCAGACAAGGAAGAGTTCCGGTTATGTTGGGTTTTAATTAAACATCCAAAGAACGTAAACAATAGCAATTAAATGGAGGGAGTATTTGTCCGTTGAAGCCACTACAGGGGCAAATGCATATGTATGTATGTATGTATGCTCAATTGAATGACAATTTAAAAGTTTTTACTCCGAATAAACTATGTTTGCTCAGAAAGTTCAAGAAACTACATATTGAAATGCGTTTGCTGAATTCTAAACAGTTGCCTCTGTGAGGAGTTGGACTCTATTATAAGCTATGTAATTGTCTAATAATAACTCTTAGTTTATACATACATACATATAATACGAGTGTATAATAAATGCCTTTGCAATATTTTTGCATTTTTCAGTGCACTTAAACAGTGTAGAAGCTCGACAAAATTTTTGTATGTATGTTATTGTGTCTCATCACATGTATTGTACATTGGCCAAGCGTTCATGTAAAATTGTTTACAAATATATGCATAGCCACACATACATATGTATGAAAATATGCGTCAAGCTAGTTCGCGACAATCATTTATTACGAGACTCTGTTTTGGCGGTAAATACCTAATGTACGCAGTATGAATACGAAATGTTTATTAACTATGTTTATATGATAGGTATGTATATATGTATGATTGATGGCAAGTATTTGAAATGGACGTGTGATATACGCTTCAAATATATATGGAAAATATAAAAATAAAAATATATATATTTTTTGCTCAAACTCTACTAGTGCTCACCCTTGCGATACTCTTTGCTTTCTTTGATATTTGTAGAGCGACATCGTTATTATTTGTAGTAAAAAGAAATTTAACTAACTATATACATACATTTCTATCCATCTCCATCGTAAAACTATTTAAATAAATTTTCCAAATAATTTTCTAATTTTTTCATGAGAACCTATATCTTCCCATTCTTCGACACAAAATACCCTTCTTGAAAGTTCCGCTTGAAAATAAATGGTGGAGTTTTTTCCACTTTATATGCCTAGATCACCTTAGCACGGTATTTTCCAGCAGCATCAAGTGTGCTTAAAATCTAACGATAAACTAAGCTAGGCTTACACGAAACGTCAGTTTTGATTCAGATTGGATGTGAGTACCGTACCTTTGAAAATGTCAGTAAAAATTTTCAGAAAAAAAAAACGTTTTACTAACCAAAAAAAAAGAAGAAAATGATCGAGTTTTGTGAGAAAAGGATGTAGTAGAAATTAGGCAGTGAGTTGTATAAAAGTTGTTTGTTTATTCATTTATATGTTCTTTGCCTTTCTGCATTTTTCCAATTCCTAAGTGAAGACTCTGCGAATTTGTACGGGCGTTGATTGCACTCTACCGACACCTCATATTCTATCAGCGGGTAACTTCACAGTTTAAAACTGAGCCTGTCGAGTCAAATAACCCATTTAAACATTATTGAAATATACCTACATAAGTACATTAAATTTATTTTTCAAGATCTGCACCTTACTTATTATTTTTCAACGTGAAATATATGTATGTAATATGCCCAAACTACCGCAAATGATCATTTGACCAATGCAAGGATTCGGTCGTGATTTGCATTTTTTGTGATATAAAATTATTGTATTGGACATTCTTGGTATTATGATAATTTGCAGGATTATGTTATTGCTTAAAAGATAAACAGATAATTTCACTCTTCACCAAGTAGAGATTTCAAATTATATAGTATGTACATACACATATATTTTGGTGATCGAAAACTCGTCAATTCATTATTTGACTAACAATTCTTATGCCAAGAATTGTAAAACATTCAAGTTATTTTAAATGTTTAGAAATTATAAAAAACTTAGATGAAGACTTTTCAGAATTTAGTGAAAAGAAATTATCTGAAAGTGACATGATTAACATAGAACAGAGACAAAAGTGAGTTCTGAGATACATAAAGTGAGAAAGAAAATAACTTGAATATACGAAGAGGGCAGAAAGGAAAAAGCCGTTATTGAGTTCAGAAAGTGAACTGACACTGATGTGATGAAGTTAAAATCTCGGCCAAGAGAGTGGCGGGGTTAGTTAAAACTACACTATCGCCATGTAACTGTGGATAGGATGGGAGATGAGAGCAAAGCTTCGAAGTTTTCTTCAGCAGAATCCAACACATATTTAATACTAGTCTACAGATTGTAATTGTAAGAGTGAGGTAAGACCGAAAAATTCTCGTCAAAGTCGCTCAAAAATCAAGATCATGTGATTGTTTGCTTCGATTTTCGTAGTGTGGTGCACTATGAATCCTTTCGCCCGGTTAAACGGTAAATAAGGAATATTACTTAAGCGTTTGCGTTAAGCAATTCGCAAAAAAAAACCAGAATTCTTGGCCAACAATTTTCGGTTTTTGCATCACGATAATGCACCGTCGCATACAGCACTCATTATTCGTGACCACTTCGCTATGAATTCCACGAATATCGTTCACCGCATTCGCCGGACTTAGCATCCTGGAGGATCTGGCTCTTCCAGCAACTCAAGAGACCACTGTCGATTGAGAAGGTTAAACGTGACTCAACGCGCTCCCTGAAGGCCATACCAGAACGTGGCGTAAGTTCAAACGACAAACAAATGAAGTAAAAAGAGTTTTATTTAAGTGCAAGTGTTATTGGAGGCACTGAAGTTAAGAACTTCGAAAAAATTACAGTACTAAGAAAATCTTAATGGAAGGAACTTCTCAAGATGAAAAACAACCTTTTTGCCTCAGATGAGTTTCTACCAAAGTGGGAACACTGCATTGGGTTTAAATTTTGAGAGTACTTTAAAGGTGTTTCAAAGAAGTGAAAATGCAAATTCAAACGCGAAAAGAATAACAACTTTAGTAACTTAGTAAACAATACCAATTAACACTTTCGGAAAATGTAAGTTGAAAATGGTAAATTTAGCACATTTGGCCAATGTTTAGCAATTAAAACAATAATAAACAAATGCCATTCGCTTAGTTGTTGTAAGAAGTTAGAATATGTGTAGAAATCAATGCTGACTGCTTGAAGGAGATACTAAGAAGCCAAGCTAACAGCTAGAGTCTTTAAAACGAATTTAAAAGAAAAATACTATGTATTGCGGTAATGGCGAAAATCATCATTTTAGGATGTCTAATATACATATATAATGAACTTTGTGTTTCTAAAACATTATTATGTTAAGTGGTAAATCCACTTTGGGATCTTGGAAAAAGCATTTTTATATATATATTTTTTTTATGTGCTGAAAGGGTACCTTTGGGTACTAGAAATGATATGCAATTAGATTTAAAGTGAAATAAAAATATTTCAAATAGCTGAACTTTATATTTTGCTGCAGCTCCTCAGAGCGTACGCTGAGTACAATGATAACTTCAAACGCGTTTTTGTCAAAATCACATTCTTCTAACTGGGAGGACAGGTTATTCGGACCCTATTGCACCAATTTATCTGAAATTTTGATTGTAGCTTCACAAATACATTTTTTTATTTAATTATTTAGTACGTATTTTTAGTCAAAAATCAATCTTTTTTATAAAAGCGTGCCGCTTTCACTAAATTAGTTTAAAAAAAAACAAATCCGTACGTTTTTCCAAATTGTTTGTAGATCATAAAACTTTTTGCTTTTCTGTTCTAGGCCTCACTCTTTAGACGCAATCCGTCCTCCCGTGGACACCCTTCAAAAAACATGGATTAAATAATGGACTTTATCACAACAATTTTATAACAAAATAATAATAAAAGAATATTTTTTTAACTTTCAATATATGTTCAAGGAAATGGTTAAATATAAATTCTAATCCTCCTCCCGTATTTCTACAATAAATTAAAAAAAGAGTATATTTTTCAATCTCCAGAGTGACCTTACTTCCTAAAATGGAAATTCTCTCTTCTCTTCTCTATCATGGGCCAAACACTGACAGCAAAACATTGTTCCGTCAATAAATTAGTAGTTGAAAATGAAACCACGTTTAAAAATGATGCCTATATAATTATTTTATCATTATATTCTATTTGAAAAATTATCTAATAATCGATAAAGACATATAAAACAGCCAAAAAATTATAAAATCTTGGCCAAGAATATCCAAAATTTTAGTTATGGCCAAAATTAAAAAAAGAACAGTTGAAATATCTCAAAACCTATGGGACACACAGAACTGCACCAAGCACCCCACTAATCCTAGAATTAGTTTGGCCAAAAATTGCTTCAATGGTTATAAACCAATCGTGTGTAGTGGGTCCTAAAATTAACGCAAGATTTTAAT